TCAGAATTTTTGAAGGATATGCTTCCTATGCCAAGTATAAGGATATGCTTATACTCAAAAAGCAAAAGCATTTACTTCAAATTATTATAAATACCATTTGGAGGATTTCCTTCAAAATTTGCAAGTACAAGGATATCCTTTGTTTTATGGATACGGCTCACTGTGTGTCAGTGATAGTATCGTTTAAGCCAGAAAAAGGCGATACAGAAGATCAAAGGCATAATTGAGAACCTGTCTGGCAGCGCAACTGCTACAAAATTTCTGGATGCAGTTGCAACCTGCATTTCATGTTCAAATTGGCTAAATTAATGATGATGCTTGCCGGGGAAAGCCAATAAAAGTGATTAACAAGTTTAAAAGCGCATTACAGTTGGAAATGCGGGAAGCCTTTGTAACACAGGCGAACATTGTCTTCCGCCGAGGGGGTGGAAAATTATAACGATTTATTAGCGTCATACTGAAAGAGGATAGCGTTATTATTTCCGATTCCAGCTTGCCCATAGGCGTCAGGGTTCGACTGTATTTAATGAGCTTAATCACCATTTCATTATTGTAACAACATTACAGGCACCAGGTTATCTAGAATTTCCGAACACATAATAGATATTTGTGTATTAATTGCATATAATATGTACACACGAGTCTTAAATTACTGCACTGCAAATAATGCGCATTGACACATGTTTGTATGAACTTTCCTACTTGAACTTGGTTCAGGAATGCCCACTTCTAATTAGGATCTATCAGTCCCTATATACACCGACTTTGCCAAAAGAACATCAAATATGCATCATTGTAACACTACTTTCACTAAAAGGAAAAGGTACTATTGTTGTAGAAGAAATGTGCAATTTAGGGCAAATTACTATACTTTTCTCAAAATATTGTTAAATGTATCCTTCGAGCGTTCGCGCTCTCAATGCAGAAAAGCTATTATTTATTTTCGTGCTAGCGTTTTGTCTAGTTTTGAGGTCTGTCTAACTATTGTTCCCTCATACGACAACGCTAAAACTGTTTTCCTTTAGCTGGAAACACAAGCGCTGATGTTTCAACTAGATCCGACATGGTCAGTTCATTCACTCTACGCAAGAAACCAAAAAAAAACTAGGAAGATCTTTAATAAGTTTATTATAATATAATGCAGCAGGATAGGGATCTGGTGAAAGCAATAAAAAAGGTCTGGCTAGCTGGACGTAAAGCCGCGTTTTCACTAGTTCAACGATTCTCATTGATGATCAACTAGAATCGCTACAAGCTTTTTTTAATATGTTTTTATTAACATTGGGTATACAGGGTGTTTGGTATATGAACCAACGAAATCTTTTGTGCGATTGAGAACGCTATTTGATGATTTTTGATGGAAACCGCAATGCTGCTAAAGGCTACGATTACCGGTATATGACGGTTTTTCATTTTTTGCTAAATTACCTACAATTGCGCATAAATATAGATATAACTTTTTTGTTTCTAGAGATGACACAAAATAAAAGTGAGTCTGTTCTGTAATGTATACTCAGTCAGATCGGATGAACAATCTTCTTAAACAAACGACGTATGACCATCCAAAGCCGTACAATCTCGTGGAATGTATAAATATACTAAGTGACATATAAATCCGAACACCCAGTTTAAATGGTTTTATTTTAATAAAATTTTGTATAACTACTTCATGAAGCATGAAGCATAATAAGTAAATGATAAAAATTTCAAAATGATTGCACAGCTTTAAAACCCTTTGACCTTTAATAATGTGTGGATGCACCCTGATGTGCTACGCATTCTCCAACGCGCCTAGGCATGCTTCTGATCAGGTGGTCAATGTCCTCCTGTGGTATCTCATTCCAGGCAACCACCAACTCCTCTCGAAGTGCTTCTAGAGTCTGAGGAGGACGTTGCAAATTGAGCAATCTCCTACCCATCATATCCCACACGTGCTCAATTGGGGAAAAGTCGGGAGATCTTGGTGGCCATGGTAACAATGTGACATCATTATGTTGAAAGAAGTCTATTGTGACTCTTGCAACATGTGCTCGGGCATTATCTTGTTGGAAAGTTGGATCTGCCAGGGTGTCAAGATAGTGTAAAAGATGGGGTTCTAGAACTTCGTGAATATGACGCTGCGCGTTCATGTTACCTCTGATGAAGATTAAAGGTGACCTGGAACCATAAGCACCCCAAACCATAACTCCAACAGTGTGATGAACATGTCTTTCAACAAAAAACTGTGGATTCCTCCTTTCACCACGTCGCCTTCTAACCCTGGCACGACCATCGTGCATGCCTAAACAAAATCGAGACTCGTCACTAAAGACAATACTGTTCCATTCCTGATCCCAGAGTGACCGTTGTTTGCACCACTCAAGGCGATTACGTCGGTGTTCTCGAGTTAAATGGAGGACCCAGTGCGGCCGGTATGAAAACAAGCCAAAACTTATCATTCGTCGGTAAACACTTCGCATGCCAATAGGTCTTCCGTGTTCTGCAAACCATTCATTTGCAATGGACCTGGTAGTGGAGAAACGGTCCCTTAAGGCCAATAACCTTAGGCGGCGATCTTCACGGTCTGTTGTTCTACGGCGGCGTCCAGTGCCCCTTGCTCTTTGCTTACGGCCTTCTCGAAGCCATGCCTGACAACACCTAACCACAGTGTCTACACTTTGCACTCTAACTGCAATTGCCCGAAAAGAAAGTCCAGCTTCCCGAAGTCCCACTATACGGCCCCTATCAATCTCACTAAGTTGACGAAATCGTACAGGTCTCCGTACTCTAGGCATCGTAACCGATCGTAAAGGATGTCAAGAACCAAAATCCGCCAACGTTGATTCTTTACTGCGGCTGAAATATTCATTTTTAGAGCGTTAGTGAATTAAAAAAAAAAGCAGTATAAAAACCGGAATGTCCAACTGATAAGGCTGAAAATTGTTTCACTTGTTATTTACAGTAAGATAAATACATTCACCTACTTTTATTAAAATAAAACCATTTAAACTGGGTGTTCGGATTTATATGTCACTCAATATAATTTCAAATAAGAAATTCAATTATAAAAAACTATACCTTTTTTTAGAACCTAGTTTTACTTACAAAACTTCTATGATTGATTGCCTTTCCAACGATATGCTGCACATCATTTTGTGTCATTACCTCTAGAAACAAAGTTATACCGATATTTATGCGCAATTGTAGCAAAAAAACGAAAAACGATCTTATCTCGGCAACCGTAGCCCTTAGAGCATTGTAGTTTCCATCAAAAATCATCATATAGCGTCCCCAATATACCAAACATCCTATATTTAAAAGCAAAATGGCGACTGACGAGGTTACTCTTTCTATCACAGATGCCATTTGTCAATTAATAAATACGACAATTTCATCACGAGGTAGGTATCAAAAACATGCGAAATATAAAATTCAGGTTAGTAAGTTCAAAAGGATAGACAGAAGTTAGGTATTTATAATTTTTTGGCCTGTATGGCCACCGCCATTACCGATTTTCAAAATCTATCAGGATTTTTTGTTCCTAGCATATTAGTAACCTCATGTGGAAATTTCATCAAATTCCGAACAGTACTTTCCAAAATATAGGCGGTCCAATGATTAGCGGACAGACAGACTGACAGATTGACAGACCGGCAGGCCGACAAACCGACAGACAGACATCCAGAAAATAGAATATCTCATTGCCAGTGTGTCGAGGGAAGTAAATCGGATTGCAATGCTTATTGACTACCTTCCAGTCATTCTTTGTCTAGACGATACAAAATCCGAAGATAGTCTATACAGGACTAGCATTTGCTCGACGACTCGCATTTGAACTAAAATGTTGAAACGTGTTCAACTGTTGTTGAAAAATATTTTATCATTCAACAGAAATTGAAATGCAGATCATACTTGGATCGTCGTTCGATTTTACTTGAACGTTTGAAGTTCTAAAATCTGGTCATGTGAACGCAGCTTAAGAAAAAGCGAAGATATCGTATCGGGTTGTCTTCGTCTTCGACGTCTTTCCAACACCTGCAACTCGGTTAAAACAATCAGAGAGTTCGGACAGGTTTAGACCTGTCTACTCCGCCTCAAAAGCGGACCTAGTTATACAACAGTAGTTGATAGTGTTCTCAGAGTCGAGCCACAGATAACCATAGACGTGCAGATTCAGAGGGGGTGAGCGAAAATCTTCACTTTATCGCAGAAGTAGCTAATGCTCAAACACACAATTTTAGAGGAGATGCTTTTAGCTTACGTGTTTAAAAAATACAATGTTTCATTAAACATGACTCTCACAAATTTCAGAAAATGGTGCTTGCTTGTTTGTCAAAAGCTTGGAAAGTCTTTTTTGGAACAATTGTGGACACAAGATACTTGCTGATAGTCCTCTATATTTGTCTGGCCGCTAAATGAAACCACGTATGGTTGAAATACTATTTACTAATGACAGGCAGCCAGACACACATGGAGGCTTCGTAAGTTTCAGGTGTTACGGTTCTACTTCCTAAGCTGACAACATGTACAACAAAACTGGCATGTCATCGCCAATAACACGAAGTGGCGTATCTCAGAAAATATGAAAATGGGGTTATGTCGATTTTACTACTCAAAAAAGGTTGCTCTTCAATATCACGAAGTGGCATAAGTCAGTTTCTAATGCTTTCAGAGTTATAGAAAAATAATATTACACGTATCTCATTTTAATAGGAAATTAAATTTCACGGGGGAGCTTAACTCAAGTTACGCCAATTGTGTGCAATTATAAAGTATGTAGGGTAAATCAGGGTGATATGGCGAACAAAAAAAATGAGATATGTACAAAAGAAGAAATCGTTTATTTAAACAAAATAAAAACGCTATTTTACAAAATATATAGGCAACAACTTCACAGGATGATATCCTTTTTAAGGCATTACAAAGGTTTGAAAAAATAAATTATTTATTTTTATCAAGTTCACCATTTCACCCATGCATACGGGTGAAATGGCGATTGCACTTTGGGTGAAATGGTGAATTTACTTCTCCTGCTTTTTACCACAGATATGACACATGGATTCATATCTTGAACAGTCTTCGTGAAGCCAAAGTTGGCAGCTAATACATTTGACCCAATCAACGTCCTTTTTAGTGCATCTACACAGTTCGCTGCATCCTACACAACAGCATTCTTCATCGTCCACGTCGTCATCATCATCATCTTCCAAGTCCATATCCAGCGATGAGTCAGATTCGGTGTCAGTGGTAGACGCTTTACGTTTCTTACGTTGCTTGTTTTTGGTAGTTTCTTTGGTTATGGTTTTTCCTTTGGCCTTCTTTTTAGCATTTTCTCCACTCTTCACTGACTCAATTGATGTTTTGTTTTGGCATTTTCTGTTTCGTAGGTTAACAATGTTTGCTGGAGAATTCAAAATCTCAGCTAAAGCTCTAGAATTTTTTCTTGCAGATGCAACTTTATTTACCATAGGTATCGGCGAGATATTATCCAAAAGTTTCCCAGGGGTTATTTGAGATTCTTCTATTGCCACTATTGAAGTCTGTTGCCTCCGATGAGAAATGAATGTTTTTCTGTAGATTTTTTCCCCGTTGCAAACAGCCCAGTTGTGGTGAAGCTTGCATGTGTTCAATTCCCTGATTGTTATCTACTTCTGCAGTTGCTTCTGCCGAGGGATTTGGGATTTCCTGCCAGTGCGAACAACCTGGCTGAGGTGAAGTAGATATTTTTTCACGTCGCTCGTTGTTTTCCTGTTGACCTGAAGCTGATGTTAAAAAGGCATATTCGGGAATGGCATCAGCATTAAATGGGATGATTCCTGTGCTTCTGAACCCTGATATTGCGTTATCTGTCGTAGACGCTTGTACCCATGCCTTACTAAGCAGTCCTCCGAACACTAGTCTTGAAATTTTTCTATTTGGGTTCATTTTAATGTAGGAGTTGCAAGCATTGTAATAATAGGATTTTAGAGCTTTAAAAAATGCTCTGTCTAGTGGCTGCAGATAATGCGTCGTGTGGCTGGGTAGACAGAGCAGAATTATGTTATTTTCCTCTGCAAACTCTAATGTGTCCACACTGCTACAATGAGAGCTGTGCCCATCCAAAATAAGCACGACCGTTCCCTCAGGCTTCCTCGGTGCAAAATGGTTCCTTAGCCACAGAAGGAAAATATCAGTTGTCACGTACGCCGACTTTTGTGACATGAAAATAATGGAACCAGGCGGCATACCGTCTCTATATTCAGCTTTTTCATTCTTCCCCTTTAAAACACATGCTGGTGGTAGAAACGTGCCCTCTCCATTACAACAAGCAATAACGGTGATGGTTTCTCCCTTTTCACCTGATGTTATTGCTGCGACGCTCTTAGATCCCTTTGCTGCCACCACATGCCCTGGTCTGTTATTTAGTTGAAGTCCGGACTCATCTACGTTAAATATATTTCCCGGCTTATCAAGTAGATTGTGCTCTATCAAGATATTTCGCAGCAATGAAAAATAGTCTGAAACGTTTTTCTTGTTTAATCCCCTTGATCGTGCCAGTGAAACTGCCTCTGATTTGCGGACCGAGAGTTCTGGATTTCTTTTTAAGAATAAATGCAGCCAATCCATACCGGCAATTTCCTTTTCTCGGTTAAATTTGTGGTGCTGGTTACATTTCTCAGCCAGTTTATATGCCATGATACGTACTTCTGTTCTTGTCGGTGCAAATCCAAATTTTTGTAATTTTATAATACGTTTCACCATCTTCTTCTCACATTCTTGTGTTAAGACAGGCGGTCCACCTAAAGCTTTTTTCGTGAAACACCCATTTGCTATTCTTCTTTTCAGCGTTGACCATGGAACACCAAACTCCTTTGAGGCTTGATTCAGGCTCATTCCATTTTGTACTGCGTTTATGGCATCTTTAAGTTGCTCCTCTGTCCAGTCAGCCCGACTGGATCCTCTTTGCCTTTTATAAAATGTAGGCATCTTTGCCTATAACAAAGGTGACAGTTAGAACTTTTACTTAGTCCGAGAAATACAAGAATATAATGTGTGTTTTGTTTTAATCACTGTCAAACCAAACCAAACCCGACCAAAAAAAATAACAAAAAAGTTTGGACTTGCCCTGATTTGAACCCGCACCGCTAAAAAACTTAAACGTGACGGTCCGCTGCAACTCCCACTATGCCACAGCCGCTTCAACTGCACGTCGAATAAATCCCGCTTACGATAAGAAACGTTAAAAATTCATGCACTGACAAAGCCTAGCCTTACAAGTACGAAAAGTCGGTCACCATATCACCCATGCTCGAGTTCACCATTTCTCCCATTTGACATGGGTGAAACGGTGAAGAGCACTGGAAGAAGTTCACAATATTATAGGAAACGATTTTTAGGTTATGTAGTATATAAACAGTCTAAGGTGGCAGAATATATCAAAAAATACCTCGCGGACTACGCTGCTTGAAGCAACATTTACAAACACATGCATCGTATAAAAATTATTGAGCATCGGAAACAGTTTTGTACAAATTACTTACGGTTTTTAAAACGTGGCTGGTTTTTAACAGTTGCTCGCTGAACATATGATTATAAACTGTCGGCATTCACACCTACAGAGACATCTGTGTACTCGGAAAAGAAATAGATTGATTCACCATTTCACCCGATTCACCATATCACCCCGATTTACCCTATACATATTATTATTCAGCATATGGCTTATCTGAACTACGCCAGTTCGTAAAATTGTAGTTTTAATATTATCACTGCACGCACTGTGACGTATCTTATTGACTTCACCTTCAGCACGATTACAGCTTTTTTAGGTTAAAAAGGGAAAAGACGCTGTGTGAAGGAGATATACCGGTAGCTCGTTTACAAGAATACCAAAGATTCGATTTAAATCTTCCCCATGAGTGATAGATGAAACACTAATTATTATTTTGTTCATGTTATTATATCATTATTATTTGAGTGAGTCTTATGTTCGTGCTGCCATATTTAACTTATTTAGGAAGTTAAAGTTGTATATTTTTAGATACAGCAAGTACTTATTTCGCCATAATACTCACTGTTCCCCGTTTTGTAACCATTTTGTCTTGTAATAAAACATTTTTTTCTTGTGTTTTGATTTTTCATTTATTAATATAACACGGACAAAACTAAGTCTTTATTCTATGAATTACAACCCTTCAATTTCAGAAAATGACGTATCTACTTTTTGGAAATTTTGAACACCTAAAATTAAAAATGGGCTAATCCTTGCTCATTTTTGAAAATCCTGTAAATATGAGCAAATATATCCACAAATTCAATTATGTAGCAATAATACCTTTTTGTCAGCAACACTTCAAAGCTAGTGAAAATATTTAAAACGCTCTCCTGCAAAATTGGGAAAAATGAGGTACGCCACTTCGTGTTATGGACGACGATATGTCTGGTATTGTTTATGTCAAACGGTATGTTGTTTATTTCTGTTCGTCGATACCGATATATGTGGTGTAATGATGGAGTTCGTTCAATCAAACATTCATTTACTCGTTACATAAAGTTTCTGCACAATTACGTATCTACCATCTTCGGGTTTATTTACTACAAAAAATATAAAAGTGTCAGTCGCGCGAGCGCAAAACACATACACATTAAAAATTAGAACTAAAACAATATGTAAACTACATCAAACTATTATAAACTGAAGAACTTTCGTCTTTCTTTCTTCGGTTCAATTGTAACTTAATATAACTTTAAGGGATGACAAAATAAACAGAAATAAAAAATATGCTTATCCCAATAGATTTAACAACATATATATTTATCCCAATAAGTTATGTTAGGCTCTCCAGTATGTCCCACCATTTCAGAAAAAGCTCTTCCAAGTTGTAACACAAAACAAGCTTCTGATTGGTTTAGTCGAACGTCGAACGGCTTCTTATTCGTTACTAATACAATAAATAAAGGAAAAAATACATTTTCAAGAACAAAAATATGCCGTTTTACACTTGTTGATCTCTAAGGATATTGAAGTTCCTTCGTCTCGTTTTCAAATAAAAGCATATTGCACCCTTTTCGACTATTACTGTCATAGCGTAACAAACTTTTGTTTGAAGACTTGAGACAAAGAAGCTTTAATATATTTTAAAGGTTAAGAAGTATAAAATATCATATTTCCAATCGAAAAAAATTATTTCCAAATATTTAGTTCGTTTTATTAACAGCTATATAAAAGCTTGTTCTTCAAAGTGTTTTTTTATTTATCTGTTAATCTTTGCGTATCTATGTCACAGCACTAGTTTATTAATTTGAATCTAATTTACATATATCTGATGAATAGGAATTCATAGAACTTCTATATGACATTATTATGAAATATCTACAAGTATCCGTGTTCAAGTGATGCAAGATCTAAACTAATGTTAAAAAGTTAACGTTTGATATTGTTATTATACACGAGTATTTACTTAATATGACAATGGGCTTACTATCATCAAATTCTATTACCAGAATATTTACCAAAAAATGTGTTCCAATTCGATGGGTTTGCGTCGATTTATTAAAAAGTGCCCATAAACGCCTCCTCGCTCCATCGTTAGGCAGTTCCATGTCACAATAATATCGCATTGTCATATAATACGTACGCCACATTGGATTCTCTGCTGCCCATATCATGGAGGTTAAGAAAACTGTACATCGCCATATTGTGGAGGGTGCCATATTTGAGACAAAATTTCAGCATTCAATCGATTGTGTATTGACACGCGAATCAAACGTGTACGAGCCCCTTCCCACTTCAGTTGGACCACTTCAAGATTTGTACCAAAATATGCCTTTATAAACTAAACATGATGAAACTATTTACTTCTAAAACAATTTATTTTCTCAAAAACATTTTAGATACACTCTAGTCGTAAAAAATACATATTTGAAATCACTTAGACCTATAACTAATAGAACATCTGAACAAATAAACAATGTGCGAATAAATGCGCGAAGTTAACAAAGCAACAATTGAAAGAGATCCGGCCCTGCCTCTTTACCGAGTCGCAGCAGTTTAATCGGGCTCTTGAAAAAGTTTAATTTCTACCAGTAAAACAACGTAATTTGTGCATAGTGACATATCCATACCATCAAGATAGAAGCCAGCAGCCTACTGTGAGTAAGAAACCATCGAATTTTCATCGATATTCCGCTGTTGAAGCAATACAGCAGTGTGTGCTAGCCACAGTGCTGAGATTTCCTCCTGCGTTTGTGGAATTCACGTCGCACAAAAAGACTCCTTCATCGTCGTGTTACAAAACACAGTACCGTACTCAGATATGGTCACAGCACATCTGAAAGAAGGCAATTGAACCAAGAAAGATGTCTCTACAAAGTATTCCTACAACATCAACAAATATCACCAATGCTCCATCTTATTCTACTGTACTAAATCAGCCAGTCACTTACAAGCATCCCAATAAAGATCAAGCCATCGTTTTCAATTCCATCGAGGGTACCAGGATACAAGATTACCTCTTGGAGCTGGGCCCCATAGTAGATCCAAAAAATATAATATTCTGCTCCAGGATTTCAAATAACCGTATATGCATTTATTTCTCCAACAAGCAAATAGTCGACAAATTTCTCAATAATCCTGGAAAAATCGAATTGCAAGGACAAGTTGCACATGCACGGCGACTAGTAGCACCTGCAGATAGATTAGTCATCTCAAATGTCTGCCCCACAATACCGCACGCAAAAATCAAAGATAGCATACAACGTATAGGCATCAAAACAGTTTCGCCTATTTCATTTCTGAAGATCGGCGCACCACTTCCTGAATATAATCATATTTTAAGTTTCCGAAGACAGGTATATATTGAACCGCTAGAATCTGAAATTCCCAATTCTCTAGAAATCAGCCACGATGACCTTACGTATCGAGTATTCTTATCTCTTGATAGTCAAAGCTGCTTCAAATGCAAAATGTCAGGTCACATTGCTTCTCGATGTCCAGCGTCCTCCAACCCTTCATCCACAACACAAACGCTTAATGAAACCCCAAGCCCAACTACAACCTCAGCAACTGCTAAGCCAATAAATGACCCATCAGAGACCAGCGCTACCGCACTTAATTTGGCGCAGGCAGAATCTTCGATGTCAACAGTAACCTCCGTAAATTCGATAAATACAACTAGTGCAAACAACAAGAGAAGCATTTCCGAAATAACAACTCCAACTTCGGAAGCAACACCCTTCACAGATCCCAACTTAATGCCAGAACTTGTTATACCCAGACAAAATCCAAAGAAAAAGCCAAAATCAGACCCTACGCACTCATATATTCTAGACGACAATATGGAATCAGTAAAATTGCTCATAAATAGCAGCGATGAGAACTACATCCTCGACTATAATCAGCTGAAAAGCCTTCTTGAGAATACCCATGGTGCAAAAGACACAATAAGCATTGTTCACGAGTACACAGCAGATATAAAATCACTCATTGAAATGCTCTTAACAATTTATCCTCATATAAAAGACAAAACAATAAAAAACCGCGTAACCAGACTGAGGAAAAAACTAGAACGCCATTTAGAGAATAAATCTAACGATTCTTATGACGAAACCTCTTCAGTGGACTCCACATTTTAATATGCTATCATTCAACACTATTATCCAGTGGAACGTAAATGGATACTTCTGCCACCTGAATATGCTAAAGCTTCTGATATCCTCCAAAAACCCAGATATTATGTGTATACAGGAGACCCACTTCCGAGGAAACCAATCACATACTCCTAAGCATTACCAAGGTTTCTTCAAAAATCGCGCACAAGACACAGCTAGTGGAGGAGTGTCTATTTATGTGAAAAAAGAAATACCGGTGATGCAGCTCAACCTCAAAAGTAATTTGGAAGTAATAGCAGTCTCGTTAGAAGCTCCAAAAAAGATCAACATATGTAATTTGTATATCCCTCCAGACTATCACCTAGAAGCGGCAGAAC